GGACGCCTGATCAACTTACCCACCTGTTTACCAGTCATCCTCTTACTCCCCTTCATCCCACTGTTCTTACCATCCCTTTCATCCATACATCACTACAGTAAAGTCTAGCTTAAAGTGTGGCGTGGGCCATGCAGGTGAATATCACCTATATACATTATAAATCCCCTAGTTTTAAGAAAAATGTGCATAAATGCCTAGAATAGTTTCAGTCATACATTTTTAGTCTACAAAACTGCTTTTATAATTCTAATTTATATTAAAAAATGACAAAATAAATAATAATAATTTAATTTAATGACTAAAAAGTATTTAAAAAATGTAAATAATTTAAATAATCCAATAAAAAATAAATCATTATTGTTGAAGCCTGGAAAGTGTTTAAAAGACTAGGCCTGTCTGTTTCTCCTGATAGTCAAATTTATGACCCTTCCATGAGAAAAATCTCTCACTCACTAACAAACTCCTGCCCTTGCTTGAGTCTAGTTAACCTTTGACCCATAATGTTTTAGTTTGTTAGCATGCACTTCAATCACAAAGGCAAACAATTATTTTGCAGGGTTTAAGCATTTGAAAGCATCTAAAAATGAAAGATATATGAAAGATATCCCAAAGCTAATTTTTGTTCTAATTTTGTCGGTCATATTTCATTTCCTCTGCAACCAACACATTGCTCTAGCACTTGTGAATATCTAAACATCACAAACAATCATTTTAAACAAAAGTGCCGTTCATTTCATAGTATTGAATTTCTTAAAAAAACTAACGATTTGCTTTTTTTCTGCAGCTGTGTGAGAACAACCTTTTACAAAGTTTACTTTGCATCTACAAAGCGTATCACTTCATTATCTATTTGTTTAAGGCTAACTGACATCAATGTGTGGGTGGATCAAGTGTGTGTGAGTGAGTGGGAGTGTGTGTTTGTATGCATGCATGCGTGTGCGAGCGTGTATCTGCATCACGCAGCCATCATGAAAGAGTAGCCGATTGCACCTTTGGGCATCAGTACAAAGGAAACAGCGCAATAAATGTAAACTTTATCAGTTCAGTCCAAAGAGTCACGGGCTCATTCAAACAGACACTTCTGGGTCAACTTTAACCCTGGTATTTGGTAAAACGAAAAAAGCCTAGAAGGCAATTTGCTAATTTTGCATAAGAAAGTATTAAATGTTGCTGAAAATATCAAACTACTACAGCAAAAAAAATCTTTTTGACCTTATTATTAAACACTTACACTCACCGGCCACTTTATTAGGTACACCTTACTAGTACCAGGTTGGATCTCCTTTTGCCTTAATCCTTTGTGGCATATATTCATGAAGGTACTGGACATATTCCTCAGAGATTTTGGGTCATATTGACAAGATAGCATCATGCAGTTGCTGCAGATTTGTCGGCTGCACATCCATGATGTGAATCTCCCGTTCCAGCACATCCCAAAGGTGTTCTATTGGATTGATATCTGGTGACTGTGGAGGCCATTTGAGTACAGTGAACTCATTGTTATGTTTAAAAAAGCAGTCTGAGATGATTCGCGCTTTGACATGGTGCTATATCACGCTGGAAGCAGCCATCAGAAGATGGGTACACTGGTCAAAATGAGATGGACATGGTCAGCAACAATACTCAGATAGGCTGTGGGGTTGACACAATGCTCAATTGGTACTAATGGGCCAAAAGTGTGCCAAGAAAATATCCCCGACACCATCACACCACCACCACCGCCCTAAATCGTTGATACTAGGCAGGATGGATCCCAGCTTTCATGTTGTTGACCCTACCATCTGAATGTCGCAGCAGAAATTGAGACTCATTAGACCAGGCAACATTTTTTTCAGTCTTCTATTGTCCAATTTTGGTTCGTTTCCTGCTCTTAGCAGACAGGAGTGGCATCCGGTGTGGTCTTCTGCTGCTGTAGACCATCTGCCTCAAGGTTCGACGTCTTGAACATTCAGAGATGCACTTCTGCATACCTCAGTTGTAACGAGTGGTCATTTGAGTTACTGTTGCTGTTCTATCAGCTGGAACCAGTCTGGCCATTCTCTTCTCTGACCTCTGGCATCAACAAGGCATTTGCACCCACAGAACTACCACTCACTGCATATTTTCTCTTGTTCGGATCATTCTCTGTAAATCCTAGAGATAGTTGTGTGTGAAAATCCCAGTAGATCAGCAGTTTCTGACTGACTCAGACCAGTCCAACACCTATGCCACGTTTAATGTCACTTAAGTCACCTATCTTCTCCATTCTGATGCTCGGTTTGAATTGCAGCAGATCGTCTTGACCATCTCTACATGTCTGAATGCATTAAGTTGCTGCCATCTGATTGGCTGATTAGAAATTAGCGTTAACGAGCAGTTGTACAGGTATACCTAATAAAGTGGCCGGTGAGTATACACTCAGCAGTTTCCATGCGTTTGTTGCTTCATTACTAACATACACAATTTCACAACATACATGTTAAACTAACATAAGACCCCATTTGAGAATTGAGTCTAAGTGCGGCTCTTTCAGTTCAACAGAAATTGTTCAAATAAAACTTACAACGAAACACTAAACGGTCTGCGTGTAATATCTGAATCAATGTGTCTAATACATTTGAAACGTTGCTCTCCAATGCAGTGAGTCAATGCTGAACTTTAGCATGTTAGCTATAGGGGCTCAGCCGAGACCTGGAGGTAAAGGCTGTTTTTGGAAACGCTCGGCTAACATGTGACTCGAATCACATTCCTGGATGATAGAGTCAGATGGGTCATGTTTTCCTCCAATACAAATGTACTCATTTCTGTATTGAACAAATCATTTAAGCCCTCCTGCCATCTCTGCTATATATAAGAATCCATGCAACTGCGTCACACTAAAATCCAAACTGAATTTTAAATATTTGCACACCATATATCAATAGTGTCCCATCACTTTTGTAAATGCATATAGTGAGTTAAGATCTGGCAAACTTTTAGATTTTTCAAGGTGGTGTGTGTGTGTGTGTGTGTGTGTGTGTGTGTCCAGGGGCCTCGGAATGCTTTGCTTTTCCTGTCTGCCTGAGAAAAATCCATAAGGACACAGAGTCAGCTTGCCACAAAGGGTTCATTCTCCCCATATCTCCACACAGTCATCCTGGTGGCACTTTTAACTGCCTGCAGCTTTACCCCTCCGGTTATCAATCAAACGTGTCACTGGCAGGCTAATAAACACTGAAAACTTCAGGATAACGGAGGAATCGTTCATGCATACTGAGCGCAAAAAAACTGCACAATTTCCACCATCCTTTTACATGTTGGTAATATCTCTTATTATTTCAATTTAATAGTGTCTCCATTAAAACTCCCATAATAAATTAAATTTGTTGTCTGCCTTAATTAGATTTAAGTAAGTGAATTTATATACAAGTATAGTGTATTTTTTTATGTTTCAAATAACTTTGGTGCAATATAATGCACCTATAGGTTATTATTGTCATTCAATGTCACATATATCTGACCAATACCTGGTATATAATTTATTTACAATAGTTAATAAAAAAAATGAATATAAAAAAGCAAAAATGAAACTTTATGTAGAAGTTTCTACCCACAAGTATATTTATATACCTTTTTGTCTGTAGATAAAATTTACATAAGCAAGATATTAAATTTACCACACAAAGACACACACACAAAGTAATGTGAAAAAGTGCTTGATATTTATATATATATTACCCCAACACTATGATATATATATATATATATATATATATATATATATATATATATATATATATATATATATATATATAAATATTATAGTGTTGGGGTAATGCATTACAAGTAATGCAAGTTATATAATATTATTACTTGTCTAAATAACGAGTAAAGTAATGCATTACTTTTAAAAACTGAGTAATAATACTTGAGTTACTTTTTCAAAAATGTCATGTGGGTTAATTTCTTTGTTTAAGTAATTAGCTTATAAAAAACATATAGCTGAATTAAAATGAACGTAGTCACACTGAATCACACACTCAATGAGAAAATGTAGGAACAGACAGAAACTTAGATGGCAGAGCCTTACATTTGTGCAGTGGAAATATTCTCATTATTCTGAATGGATCAAAGAAAGGGAAAAGGGGATTGTTTCAACAGACAATGATTTACGTCACCAATACATACAAAAAGTACAAAAGTAACAAGCACACACACGCACACACACAAGTGCTTTACACTTTCATTAATCAGTTTATATGGCATATAGCACAAGGATCAGAAAGTCATATTCAGATAAGATTATCCTACATTAATATTTTTTTATGTGTTTTTTAAGGTAAATGAAGGTGTAGGCTATACATTGCATTGTTAATTGCAGAGCTCCTTCATTTAAAAAGAAATCCTGCAAGTTATGAAACAGATCAAGCCTCAGTAACGCAAAAGTAACTCAAACGTAACATAACACATTACTTACCATAAAAAGTAACAAAGTAATGCGACAACTTACTTTTTTGGATATATTATTAAATAATAATATAAAATAATAATAAATAATAAAAGTATATTAAATAAACAATCTATAATAAAAGTAAAAAAAGTGAGTTTAATATGAGCCTTTCCTAAATATAGTAGAAATGGAATACTAAAATGGAAAAAATAAGCTAAAATGTGTTTTTGAATGAATAAAAAACATAACTTTTAATTTAATTGTAAAAAGTTTTCATTTAAATTCACAGCAATATGCTTTCCTTCAACTGCCTGTAAATAAAACTGTTTAAATTCATGTGATGTTACACTTATATCACTGGATATAAATATCAATCTAAGACATAAAGGCCAATTTGTCATGAATACAAGTTCTACTTAAATTTTCTGTTGTTTGATCAATGAATTAATTTAAAAGTATAAGAAATATTTCACAAAACCTAATAGAAAGGAATTATAAAATGATAAAAAAACGTGGACAGCTTTGAAAGGTAACTGGCCTCGTACTTCAATGGATGTGCCTAGTTATATGCGACTAATATAAACAAACTCACCCATTTCCTGGGTCTTCCTCTAGGTCTTTTCTCCCCTGTGGTCTCGGCTTTCTGCAAATGCCAACAAACCATGAATTAGTGGCCGGTATTTCATCAAGTGCTTTAAACAAATTTTTCAGGCACACAATTTGTCACAAAGCAGAGTCATTTTCAAATATGGCCACAAAAGGAGAAGGTGAAATGCTAGAGCTCAATTTCCTTCAATGCTTTTAATGCAAAAAAGGGTTTGTAATGTATATCTGGGCCTCCAACAATGAACTGTCTCCATTGCTCAAGTCCCTGGTCTGCGCGGCGTAATATTTCACTACAGGAATTTTATGCCATTCAAGTGTAAATAAGAGCACCATTATCAGCAAAACCACCCAGATAAGGGCCATGAAAGACAGTTATGGGCTTGCTATCACAGCGGCTCCAACTTAATAACAGGGGTCTATTGAAGTAGTCTGTAAAAATAAAACACTTTGGAGGTGAAAGTCTTTAAAGTAACTCTATTTTGATTTTTTTTTGCTTCACATACATTTATATTCAAATAAACAGTTGATTTATAGTCATTTAATCACTGTATTGCAGAATTACAGCACCAAAAGAACCCACAGTGCCTGAAAGGATTAGTTTAAGAATATAATCTCTAAAAAAACCGCCTTTTTCGAACGTCTCCTTTGTTCTGATTGGCCAGATGGCCCAAGGGTTTCTGCAGGTTTCACCAAGTCAAATGTTAGACTTTTTAAGACCTTTTTAAGACCTTGAAGATTGAGTTTTCAGATATATACAGAGCTATACGCTTTATTTTAAAGGCCCAGCAGTAAAAAATGTACTTGCCACATCAAAAAACGAATTCTTTTTAGTCATTTCTAAGCCACATATTTTAAAAAATGTGTAAAAACAAGCAGAGCCTATTTTTACACATACATTTTTATCAAACATAACCTACAAAACTCTTTACAAACTAATAGCATGCAAAACAGACTGCTATAATATTAATTATGAATATAGTTTTGCTAAAAAATTGTTGATAATTGGATACGTGTTGATCGATTGGGCAGCTTTACATAAACAAAGTAAAAATTAAGAGCCATTTAAAATAAATTACAACCTACAAAACAATATTTCAGAGAATTTAAGACCTTGTTTTTGAAATTTAAGACATTTTAAAACTTTTTAAGAGCCTGTAGATACCATGGGCCAGTCTGCTGTGATTAATCGGGCACTTAAAGTGCATGTCAAAAATCAAAACCCATTAGAATGTCTGCATTAATACAAAAGGTAACGATGCTGCCATTTTAACTTAATAAGAAACCATTGGAAACTGGATTTTCGTACAAGGAGCTGAAAGCAACATCTACTTGACATGTCGAAAACACAAACCCAGCTCTTCCAGGCTTCAGACATTATTTCAGGGAAGCCAATGAAAAAGCATAGGTTTGAATCACACATAATTTGTTAAAAATCTTTCATTTTGTCGTAGTGACACTGTTGATTACTTTGATCATTTTTAGAAAGACAGGACAGGATTTCCCAAGTACATTATGCGTCATTCATGCAATAATCCTCTGACACGGTAACTGCAGTAATTTGACAGGAGAGTGGTTCCCCTGCGGGTTTGAAAGGTGGTGCCTTCCCACCACGGTCGAAGACAATTAACAAGACAAGACGCGTCTCCATTATTGATAGGATATAAAGTTTTCTTCTGGCCGTGGGCTTTTGTCATGCAGAGCCCTGCAGGAAACCTTATTCAAATCATCAAACATCTATGAATTCTGCGAATGACCCAGGAAGGGTAGGTGTCAGAGGTATCATGTTTGTCATTCGAGCGAGATACAAATCAATGCTGGTAGAGTGTGTGCCTATCTAACCTATTAACAACCATCACCTTGCTTAAGCATTACATTAATTGCCAGAATTACCAAGTTTTATGAAATTCTGAAATTAACCTTTTATGCAAGGGTGTAGAATTAGCAGTGACGGAGGGGATGTGTCCTCTCCATATAATTTAATGTTAACGTCCCCACCAATAATTTAATCACCTCCAAAATAAATAAATGCTTTGTGGAAATTTTCCAGTCAAGTTTACCGTGCAGCTACATTTCAAAGAAAAGTGTCAGTCACTTGAAGTCAAGTTTACTACAAGTCCATCATAATAGTAACCATTAATGTGCAATTAATAAAACAATTGTTTTGGTTTTGGCCTCCACGACGATTATGAAAAAACAACAATGGAGATAAAATGGTTAACGTGTCATTTGCCTCCCTCTTTCCAGAAGCATTGATTCCTTGTCAAAGTAAAATCATGTAACTGTAAATTTGCACCATAAGACATGATTGATTTAATGTTGTTTTTATTACTGATTGTATTTGATGTATTTCTTTATTTTTTTTTTAAAGTTTTTTTTAAAAGTGCAAACAGAACATGAGCTCAGAGAATGAAAAGGACATAGACATGTAAAGTCATCTTTCCGCTTAAAGTGCATTAATGGCAATATTATACTTGCAAAAATTGTGTTTAGATATTTTTTTTTAAATAACAAAATGTTTGAAGTATTTTGTGGTCTTTAGTGTACATATTACTACTTTAAGAAAACTAATGCGCATCTTTTAGGGGTAGATATGGTACAAACTTGTCTGTGTGATGAGCTGTTGTACCCCTAAAGGTACAATTTTAGCACATTTTTTTCTGACAGCCAATCAAGAGTAAGTCAGTCATACAGGTTTGGAAAGACATGAGGGTGAGTTAATGATGACAGGCTATTTTTTTAAAGTAAACTATCAGTTTAAACCTGTATTATTATTATCGTTGGAGACCTCTACAATGTACCTCTGTCTGTTGTGTTGTGTGTGATGTGTTCAGCCCTGTTTGTGTCGGTCTGTTTGCCCTGACTAAGTATGCAGGCATTGTCAAGGCTCACATTACTACTTATTCAACAAGCACAGTTTGTTTTGAATACCCCAAGGACGTTTCAACGTTCTGCAAAGGCATGACAGACTGGAGAAACATAAACCTGAGCATCGCAGTTCATGCCACAGCCAGTCACTAAAAAAGGAGGCAGGTCAGTTTGCTTGTCAGGATTGCAAAATGCTTGAAATTTGATGTAAACATTAGGTCTTTGTGCTCATGATGCATTGCAAAGACTTGAGCGTTCTCAAAGACAGCATCCCTTTAACCTCGCCTCTCCTTGTCGGTGTCTTTCTCAGTGTCTCTGTCTGTCTGTCTTGGTCCAATCAGTGTCTCCCAGCCCTCAGTCCTCTGTTGGGGATGCTGCATTTTTAATCAGGAGGTTTAATGGTCTGCAAGCCGACACCCTGATCAATTAATCATGTCTGTGTTTGCGTGTCTCGTCCAGCCAAGTCCCGTGTCCGTGGCAGACACAAGCCGGGCGCTCGCTGTCCTCTTCGACACCGGGACATCCTGGCATGCGTGTGAGGCCGGGGACAAGGCCATCTCTCATTAATGGAAAGGGAGGGCCAGCCTTGCCTCTGCCAAACCCACTTTTGCGAATGGAGAGTTTAAAATTAGCCCCCTGATGCCCCGTATCAAGTTCCAACAATGTCTGGTCAATGGAAAATATTCGGGCAAGTCATTAGTGCCAGTCTGATCACAGCTAGACGGAGATGATCTGGGTATGTGTGTTGACAGCTATAACTGTGCTAGTAACCATCAAGGTACATCATGGTTACTCTGATTTAGACGAGATTGTTCATATGATGCCAGCTCTGTGGGTTCTTTGGTGCAATTAGGAGATTACAATGGCAGAATCTGTATTGAGTACAATATTTATTGACTACAACATTTCATGAACCTGGAGGTTTTTGTACATTCACTGGATTGTCTTAAGGCTCTAACTATCATCAATCCATCTACCAATCCATCTATCAATCAATTTACATCCATCCATTGCCCATCCAACATTTTCTCTATTAATGTATCGATCCACTCTATCTAATTATACTCACTGACGCTAAGCAGGGCTGAGCCTGGTCAGTACCTGTATCGGAGACCACATGGGATAGTGATGTTAGTGAGGCCAGCATGGGGCGCTCAACCTGCCGTCTGTGTCCTAATGCCCCAGTAAAGTGAAGGGGACACCATACTGTCAGTGATCGCTGCCTTACAGATAAGATGTTAAACTAAGGTCCTGACTCTCTGTGGTCATAAAAAAAATCCCATGACACTTCTCGTGAAGAGTAGGAGTGGAATCCCGGTGTCCTGGCCAAACTCCCTCTATTGGCCCTTTACACATCATGGCCTACCAATCACCGCATCTACTGAATTGGCTTTATCATTGTCTCTCCACCTAACCTATAGCTGGTGTGTGGTGAGCGCACTGGCGTAGTTTTCCTGTGGCTGCCGTCGCATCATCCAAGTTGATCCTACACACCTCCCCCATGATTGTGAAGCATATTGGATGTATGGGCATAAACAATCAATGCACCTTATAAATACACACATTACATTAGTAAACCTCGCTAAATCCATCCATACCAATCCTTCACCTCTGTCAATCCATCCAACCCTAAATCCATCGGTCCATCCATCTTTCCATTATTCCTTTATTCATCCATAATCAATCCATGTGTCAATCCATCCCTCTATTAATCAATTAATCTCTATCACTCAGTCCTCTACTAATCCATCTCTCCATCATACTATCCATGAATCATAGCTTTACCCATCTCTCTTGATGTCCATTCATCCCAATCTCTATCTATCAATCTATCTTTCCCACTGTAAATCCATACAACCCTACCAATCCATCCCTCTGTACATCCATGTATCTCTATCGGTCTATCTATCCATTTATCTGCCCTTTCCTCTATTGATACATCCACACCCATCTCTACAGTAATCAATCAATTCATCTATCCAAAAAATAACAGAACAATATCTTCAACTTTTCTTCATGCATTACTTATTTTAATATTTGTTGGCAAGTGCAAGGTCCTCTACTAATCCATCCCTCTATCATGCTATCATGTCCATCCATCTTGCTGTCTATTTATCAATCAATTAATCCTTCTGTAAATCCATTCGACCCCACCAATCCATCCCTCTATAAATCTATTTATCTCAATTGGTCCATCCATCCATTTATCTACCCATTCCTCTGTTGATACATCCAGACCCATCAGTCAGTCTGTCAATCAATCAATCAATCAATCAATCAATCAATCAATCAATCAATCAATCAATCAATCAATCAATCAATCAATCAATCAATCAATCAATCAATCAATCAATCAATCAATTCATCCATCCATCCATCCATCCAAAAAGTGCTGAGTGGACTTTTTCGCATTTCAAATTTCTCTGCCGAGCCACCGAGCCACCCTCCTTCTTTCCTAAACCCAACCAATTTTATCGATTGACCCACCCACTTACTTCCCTAAACCCAACCGACGATTTACAAAAGCTGTCTAGAAAAAAAAAAGCCCTTGTATGATATTTAGCTGGTAAGCGCGAAAAGGAACAGCGTCATACCGCCCCATAGCGTTCACTTAAAAAAATTAAATGCAGCCATATGTACCTCCGGCTTCATAATTCGCGGTCTCCAGAAACGTCCGCGGGACTACGTTTTTAGAATGAGTCTGTGTTGGGATTCTTCCACTTTTCTACATGCAATACTTACTCTTTGCAGGAGCTGGTTCTTCCAATATTTGTTGGCAAGTGCGAGATCCCTGTATTATACTATCCATATATCATCACTTTACCCATCTCTCTAGATGTCCATCAATCTCGCTGTCCATCTATCAGTAACTCTGTAAATCTATACAACCTTACCAATCCATCCCTTTATCTCTATCAGTCCATCCATCCATTTATTTACCCCTTCCTTAATTGATACATCCACCCCATCTCTATATCAATGTATCAATTCATCCATCCAAAAAAAAAATCGACATAACAATGGTTTCTTCTAGTTTTCTCCATGCAATACTCTGCAGGAGCTTGTGCTTCTAATATGTTATGGAACCTTGCAAGGTCAAGATAGTGGAAGGAGACAGAGAAGCTGACTGATTCCCAAATTTGACTCCTTTCATAATGGTAGACTATTTAGTTCATGTTATATCACAACAAACCCATATGGGATGAAACAGGATTACGCTCACAGAACAGTCCTCTAGTTTTCAAAGGGGGGTTGTGTGTTTACAGTGGTACATAACTGCAAAAAGAGAACGGCGAATGCTGTCAGTGAGTTATTAACACAGACTAATTCCGCAAGTAGACATTTCAGCTCTCCACGACAGCTCAGAGATGAGAAACATACAGTAATACTTTTAAAAAAACCAAACGCACTGACAGTTAAAGGGGACTTCCCACAAGCATATGCCAGACTAGACCACACACAAGCAAGGCAGAAATGCTAATGACTTCATCACAAAACGCTCACCAGAACAACCCCTCTTTAAAGGCATTCCCAATACATAAACAGAATCCAGCAATTACGGCTATACTGATGCACACCAACTAAATATTATGCGATGCTGTGATTTGCTTTTCTGTTTACATGGGCATTAGTAAGGAATGGGAACAGAGTTCGTTTGGCAGTATGCAACAGTGCATGCTCTATACTCCCTGCATAGAGTATTCGCTTCATGTGCGCATGTGTATATACGCCTGCATGTTTGTGGTTCTTTCACATATGCATGGTAATTTGCCTAAGACGAGACAGAGAGGGGGTATTTACGTGTGTAGAATTGACTTCTACTTTTAGGTGTGTAGGTCAGCAGGAGACCCCTTGCCACATTACTGGAGCTTAGTGTTAACTGCTCTGCTGAAACACACAGCAAAGACATTCGGGTCACTGTGGTCTGTTCGCACAGGCAACACTGAGGCTTCATGATTGAGAGATCAAAAAGCAGCCCCAAACATTCACACACAGACACTCGCACACCCCGGATGTTGACACATTTCACATGCTTCTAAATGTTCCTGACACGTTCCTGATAAATGATTCATAAAAACGGTAAGAGCCCATTTCCTCGGTTAACACTGCCAAGATTAATATTCCTGATCTTGCAAAGTGGTGCACAGTAGATAGGATAGACAGGCACACACACTGAAGAATAGAAGGATACATAGAAAGATCATAGACAGACAGACATAAACATGGATGGATGGATGGATGGGATGGACAAATAAGACATTGGATGGATGGAAAACATATAATATGGATGGATGGATGGATGGATGGATGGATGGATGGATGGATGGATTGTGGAAAATATATAATATGGATGGTCAAAATAAGACGAACGGCTGGCTGGCTGGCTGGCTGGCTGGATGGATGGATGGATGGATGGATGGATGATTGGAAAATATATAGGACGGATGAATCGATACAAAAAATAATGGAAAATAAGTGGATAAATGGAAAAGACAATTGATAGCTTGATATATAGGATGGATGGATGGATGGATGGATGGATGGATGGATGGATGGAGGGATGGATGGATCAATGATTGGATGAATGGAAGATATATCAACTGGGTGAGTGGATAGATGGTATATCAAATGGGTGAGTGGATGCATGGTATATCAATTGGGTGAGTGGATGGATGGTATTTCAAATGGGTGAGCAGATGGATGATATATCAATTGAGTGAGAGGATGGATGGATGGATGGATGGATAAATGGTATATCAATTGAGTGAGTGGATGGATGGTATATTATTTGGGTGAGCAGATGGATGCTATATCAATTGGGTGAGTGAATAGATGGATGGATTGATGGATGGACGGATGGAATAGGAATTTGGTTAGTGGAAGGATGGTATTTCAAATGGGTGAGAAGATGAATGATATATCAATTGGGTGAGTGGATGGATGGTATATGAATTGGGTGAGTGGATGGATGGATGGATGGATGGATGGATGGATGGATGGATGGATGGATGGATGGATGGGAGGGTAGATGGATGGATGGATGGATGGATGGATGGATGGGAGGGTAGATGGATGGATGGATGGTTCATTGGGTGAATAATGGATAAAATATCAATTGGATGGATGAATGATCATTAGTAAAAAGGATGAATTGGTGTATGATTAATATACACCAAGTGTATGAAGAGAGGATTTCCAATTAATGGATGCATGTGTAAAACATCTAATGGATTAGTCAGATTAGTCAAAAATATATGAAATGGATGAATAGATTTACAAATGGATTATATCAAATGAATGGGTGGATAGATGCATTATATTTAATAATTATACAAGGGGTAATCAATGGATTTCTGGTGTTAAAGGATTTCAAGTGCACAACCTGTCGATGAAGAACTGCCAAAAATATCAAAAAGCAGATCAATAGATAGATGGAAAAAAAAAAGATAGATAGATCTGTGTCTTGTGTTTGTTTGTGACTGGACAGTTGTCCAGGACGTTTCTCACCTTCTGCGCTGCTTTGGAGGGGCCCTTGTTCTTGCTTCCTTTGGGGCGTCCCCTCGGTCGTTTGGGGACAGGCTCTCCTGTGGGTTCCTGAAGGGGAGAGGAGGTGAACTTAGGCCATGAAAACAGCAAACAAATCTATAGAGTACTGCTGTGCCACTTTCTATCACCAAAGTCATTTATTTGGATAAATGCAAAAGCACAATTTTGAAGCAAGTTTTTAAGGTTTCAAATGATAAAGCACTTTCCTGAGATCAAATGTTATTGGATCATGTGCTTAGGTTAGGTAATATGACAAACTACACCTGTGGTTATGCTACTGTGTCAGCTTGAGGTGAAATGACTACATACATCCATAAAAAAAGCACACATTAGGACCAAATACTTCCAAAATAGTGCTAGTCCACCTTGATTATTTTTTGATGTTATTTGCATTAGAATTAATTTAGTTATAACTTAGATACATGAATAAATAAATAAATAAATAATTAAATAAATAAATAAATTAATAAATAAATAAATAAATAAATAAATAAATAAATAAATAAATAAATAAATAAATAAATAAATTATTTTAAATAATAAATAAATTATAGAAAAGTTTTTTTTAAGGTAGCCCTTCAAAAATTGTCCAAATATTTCTGTTTATATATGCACTCTGCTCAGTCTCAAAGAATACAGGGTCCCTGACAATCATACACACATTAACCAGTGGTCTTCCATTCACTCTTTACTAGATAAGAGCAAACAATGATGTGTCTATAAGCATATGTGCATATAGAAAAAACAACAACTGTTTTTAATTATAATTCTTGCAAAGAGCACAGACATGTTTACAATTTGTAGCCATGTAAGATTAAACTGAACTAACAGCAAGATAACAAAGCAATTATAACAGAGTCAATAAAAGAGCAATTACTACTATACATATAAGTAAGTACAGTAAATTTATCTGCCCGAATAAAATCTTCATTTTAAATGAAAATTCATTTGAATTCACTATTTGTTTTATCACAGTGGTAAATGCCAACTAAAATCAACATTTAATGACTGATTGATTTATTTTTAACCCCACTTGCCAGCTCATCCTGATGGCCACTTGCAATTAGAGGTACAAGCGTGACTCACTGGTGAATTACTTGAGATAGTGAATCACATCCTCCAAGCACAAACAAGACTTTTGAAGGATGTGGTAATGACTAAACAGTTAAATGTTCGGTGCATTTCAAGTACATTCTTGTTGTTATAGTAACCACATCAACAACAAAAATCTAAATATCAATCCACAGCATTTCTCAAATATTAAAATTAAATCAAATTTGGGCTGATTAAACATTTCTAAACTGGCTTTCACCTCAGCACATTCAAATAAGCCTGTAGTGCAGCATATACATTTGCATTTACATTTAAGACAACCAGAGCGACTCTGTGAAGTGCATTAGCATTACATATAATAGAGCGTTGTGATCAACAGATGGCAAGCGTGTAATTTTGGAATGCTATCTGCTATAGGAAAAAAAGGGCTTCCTGTACAAATGCAAACAAGTGCTACTCGTACAATAAGCCTAATACTTGTACAGGCTATACATTCAGACTGCGACAGAGAGAAACTTTAAATGCACACAGCAAAGCACAGATTCTTTTGTCTAAAAACACCATGTTTGAATTGAGTAGAATAAACTTTTTTGACATAACATTATGTAGTTGACATTTCAAGCAGTGACAGCAGTGAGTCTTGCATTAATTAATTAAAAATATTTTACAATCCATCTACATTAATTAGAAATATGCACTTTAATAAACAAAATGTAAGTGCTGAAATAAAAAAAGATAACGTAAGGACTTTTTATTAAAGGAAAAAACTAAAACTAAACTCATGATGTTGATTTTCTCTTTATAAAATGGTTGTTATGTGTGAATTACACAGATAAACGTGTACTAAAGTACATGGTGTGCAAAAGTGCAAAGGTATGCAATACCTTATTTTGTGTAACACAATGCACAGCATTTAATAGGGGATAAAGATTTACTAAATCTAATTAACGGAGCTAATTAAAAACATCCCAAATTGGTTATATTGATTCTGCCGAAAAATAAAAACATCCTAAACAACACTTAGTTACTATGCTGGTCTACTATCCTGGTGTTCAGCTGTGTAAACTAAGTTTAAAAAATGTCCATATTTACTTTAACACCTGCAGCCAGTTCCGCTTTTAAGCAGTGCGTAAACAAGTGCGCAAAAAGTAACATGCTTACACTAAAAATGTTTACAAGCACGTTTAAACGCGTCCTTTCTAAATTTAGCAAAGGTAAAGGAGTCGCACACTGACCTGTTGCGGCTTTCTGGGTCTGCCGGGTCCCCTCTTCTTTGGCTCAGCCAGCGCAGGCTCGGGCTGCTCCTGCGATCCTGAAGCCTCGCCGGCGGCTTCCTCTCCGCGCGCGCTCATCCTGTGTGTGTGTGAATGAGATCCAAACAGAGTCTCGCGCACCTTCAGTTCCCGCAGCACGAGCTCTCGGCCGATCGGTCAGTCAGTCGGTCAGTGTCCCGCGCTCAGCAAAACAAAGCGTTCAAACCCGGTGCGCTCATGCAAAATATAAATTAAAGCGCGTTGTGTGTTTGTGAGAAGCACGTGCTGCGTCTTGGTTTGGAGAATTTGGCTCACAACACACACACACAGAGGGGAAAGTCTCCTGTGTAGAATTAAGTGGGGGTGGCTTTAGGAATAAAATAAGCCCGGTGATCGATTGCAATTTGAACGAGACATTCGCAGTGTGACAGTGCACGGACTGATCTCCACGCTACTGCGGATTCAAGAAATTGCGGGGAAAGACTTTACGCGGATTGGTTTGAGTAAAACAAAAAATGGGGGCATTTTAAATGCATCCCTGCTTCCCACACGGAAATAAGTCCACAGACTGGGGATAAGGATGAGGTATATACATTTAAAAAAAAAAAAAAACGAGAGAGAGAGAGAGAGAGAGAGGCGAAAATCACTTTTCCCGTGGGTGGATAACACGAGGAAGGAGGGGGCACGAGAGGCGCAAAAAGAGAGAGAGAGAAAAGAATTGGACAACTGCCAGAGAAAACATGAGAAATACTAAGAGGAGAGACCACATCGAGACAAACTCACGTGTCCAGCACCATTCATGTTACTGGCTTCACTCCAGCACGTTTAAAGACATAGCAGCACTGCTTCCTAGATTGTTTATTTGTTTTGTTTTGTTTTTTGTTTGATTGTTTGTTTGTTTGTTTGTTTGTTTGTTTGTTTGTTTGTTTGTTTGTTTGTTTAAAAAAATCGAAGCAATATGTAAACTTGCATGTGCTTGCGATTCTCATATCCCATACCTATTCATATAGTTTGCTTTAGATATACCTTTTAAGAGTAGCTTTACTTTTTCCGAAACAAATATTTAAGATTAAAAAAACCTATTGCCTTTGCCGCACAATGAGATCATTTCACATTTCAACACTTTTTAGTATTTTGCAATACACTTGAATTACCCTAATAGTAAAAAAAATCACACATAGAATTATTAATAAATTCACTAAGGCCACATTTTTTTAAAGGATATATATATATATATAACTTTATGGTTGAGAAATTTTCCAGCTGTATGTTTTCACTCATTAAACAAATCAATAATATAAGGGTTGGGAAAGGAGCAACAATTGTCTTTTTTTTTGTTTTTGTTTTTTTCCTAAAAAACGTTCAAATGACAGTTGCTACAAATTGCCACACAAAACAGAAACAGTATTATAGGTGCGAATATGCTTGGTTCACACCAGACACGAAGCATCGCATCAGTCAGGCTTGCGGGATGTTTTTTGCATATCTAAATTTTCTGTTCCAGTTTATTTTTTTAACTCGCACAGAATGTGCGATAGGGGAAAATTAAATGGCAAACACCTTGCACATTTTGCGTAATTTCGCCTCTATTCACACATTTGCATTAACTTTGTATGTCATCTATCCACATAAATGCTTAAATACGCATTCGACTTTGTGACTTTGTCACACTTTGTGCGTTTTCATTTATTATAGAAGAAAAATTATATAACAATTATAAAATGGTCAACACTTGATACACGTTATGTTTTCGTTCTTTTTGGGAAAAAAAACATGGCTTTCTCAATGCAATTCACAACTTTTTCCATTTAGTGTCTAATTCATATGAAATCGTACGATCTCATTCGTACAATTTAGTATGATTTGCTTATCCCCAATGATGGTTTGGTTTAGGGATGGGGTTGGGTGCCACGCCTCCTTTTAAAAATCTTACAGACTGAATTTGTGCGAATTCGTCACTAAACTGGCAAAACATGAAATAGTTACGTTTGCTTGTGAGATCAGGCTGGAAAAAATGGTTACAGATTTAAAATGGCAACACTTGTCATGTTTTTGGAAATTACTATACAGTAACTATAACAGATGGGAAATGGACAACACTTTTCATGCTGTATATCTGTGTTAATTACAAAACAAAATAGTTAATATTAAACAATTCACAACTTTTTGATTTAGTGGCTAATTTGTATGAATTTTCACAATCTCATTCATAGAGTTAAGTGCGATTTGTCAAGGCAGAGGGATAGGTTTAGGGGCGGGGTTAAAGGGCACGCCTTATTTTAAATATCTGACATTTTAGTATTTAATTCAATTAATTAAAATCAATTCAGGTTTAAGTCAAGCACTTTTCACAATAATCATCATTGGATGGGGATGGTTGAAATCATAAGATATTATATAATTTCACCATTTATTCACCAATACCAAAAATACAATTGATTTCCAGATAGATCTGGCTTTTCATATTAGGTAAATGGATTACACTAGTGGTGCTTTACAATTCTGATTCACAATAAAAAAACAACTCAAGTAGTTTGACTAATTTTAATGATTATTACTTAACAAAAAATATATTGTAGTGCCATTTTCCTTGTTAACGTTATTCAAACTATTCAAATAAAATGATGTTTGTAAATTATTTCTGAAGACCTAAATTATTATTTAATTACAGCCTAATTTCATAATTTGGCATTTCCACCAATTGTACGTCAAGTCTCACTTATTTGACTTGGCACAACTAAAATATCCTCTATTGAGTTCGCCAGACTGATCAGAAGTGCATTGTAAGAGAAAAGGAAGCAGTTGTTTTTTGTCCCTGAGGGCCGTGAGCAGCAGCGGCAGCAGCAGATCGACCTCCAGCAGCCGCGTGTGTTTGAAGTCTTCAGCCCATCGACGTGGAGTGAGATCAATTACACAAGAACAACAGTGACAAAGAAGAAAGTGCTTTACGTGGAGGGCCTTTCCCACGATCTGACCGAGCTGCTCCACAAACGCTGCCTCTCCAGATGAATACAACCGTGGCAGAGATGAGCTTTACAACCAAGAGCTGGAGGATCTTCAACTCCAAGAGCCACACAAAGCACAGCAAAAATGGAAAAAAGGAAAGGAAATTTTAAAAAAAGTGCACCAAGATATAGTGAGTGGATGTTTCCTGGGCCAACGACATGATGCTTTGTTTTGGGCTGGAAGTTATTCTGTGAAAACTGTGATATTTATTTTTTATTTATTTATATTTTTAGTTTAAAAGTGGCTAAGCGAATAGCAAAAAGGAGAAAATTACTAGAAGCTTTAAAGCAAAGATGCCCAAACTAGGGCCTACAGGCCAATGTTGGCTCATTGTAACCTTTGATTTGGCCCACCATCCCATCAGAGAAGGGACGGATGGGGAGGATTGGGATAAATGCCTTTAACAGAGATTCTAATTTCACATAACCTTCTTTGGTATCACTTTATTTTGATGGTCCAGTTGAGTATTAGTAGACTCTCTGCTTAGTATCTGTTGACACTGCTTCAGCAGACATTTAACTGACTGTAAGAAACTTTGCAAGTACATGTCAACTTGAACTAACATTAACCCTAACAGTCTACTTATAATCTAATGAGAATTAGTTGGCAGAAAGATGCAATGTAACAATTTAACAAACAGATGATCAAAATAAAGTGTGACCCCTTTCTTTTTGTTTGCTTGATTGTTTAATTAAATGTTTCAATTAATGTATCCATAAATGAATCTGATTTTCTAAAATGTAAATACACACGACGGACAGAAGACACTGCAGAAAGGCGAGGAATAACATGTTCTCCACTGAATTCTATTCTGTCATAAATTGGATTGTTTTTGTTTTTAATATAATAAGTTTGCTATAAAATGTCAAAAATAACTTTATTATTTAATATAAAGTAATGTTTTCAAGTTGTTGTTTTTTTAGATTATTATATAAATAAGATAATTACCCATGGCAACTTTAACGTAATACAGTTTGGTGTGTTTACCTTCGGCCCATCACCCTAAATCAAGTTTGCTTTTTGGCCCTTCATAAGAAAAAGTTTGGGAACCCCTGGTTTAAAGTAAGCCTGCATATTGCAAATAATAATAAATAAGATTGAAAATATTCTTTACAATGTAGCTGTGCAACAAATGTATTTAAAAACATCAATAACTGCATCTGTATCTTTATGAGTAAACAACCATTTGCAAATGGGGAAAATTAATTAAACGCCTGATTTACTGAACAGAAGGAAAAGCAAATAAAATACACAACGTGCCATTTTTGCTTAAAATACACAATTTTTAACTCAAAAACAAGAGGGGCAACCTGGCATATAGCAAATTAAAACTTCTTTAGCAAAATCTTGAAAATATTCCATAAACATTGAGGAGTTCAACAACTTTGTAAAAGAAAAGGGTAAATTATTACTATTAAGATGGGTCTTAAAATTAAATAAACAGATTGTAATTGCATATTGGATAAAAAATCATTGAAAAAATATCATGAAAAGTAAAAATTTTTAATTTTGTTCAGAATTTTGTGGGGAAAAAATAAAATAAATGAAAAATATATTTTCAGGCGGCAGGGAAGGGATAAGTTGACGGTTCATTCCACTGTAGCAACTCCTGATTAATAAAGGAACTAAGCCAAAAAGAAAAAAAATGAATAAATGAATATTTATATTTTCTTCTTTTATTTATGAGGGTACACTCTCTTTAGGGTAAATTTGTATGAATATATCAAAATTGTAATACAAAAATGTATAATAAATGTAAAAAAAATCTGAAATTCCAGTACAAATAGAAAAATCAATCAGCACTTAGGAAAAAACACTGATGTGTAACTGCAAAATACTTATTAGATTAGATACTTATTAGATAATTGTGCATTTTTTTTTTGTATCTGCTTCATTATTCAGTGCATGTCTCTAAAATGTCCACATCTGGATGCTTATTTCTGCGCCTCTTCAGGCATTGAGTGTTTTCAGAAGCGGCAGCAGAAGGAGCGCTTTCCCTGTGAAAGAGCCTGGTTAATTTGTAGTTGGTATTCAGTTCATTCATAAAAAACAGCTCTCAGACCCCCAAAGAAGGTGGAGAGGAGGAATGTGAGACACTCCCCCGCAGACACAGCGGCGTCAGCAGGGCCAGCCAATGAAACCAATACGATCAATAGACCAGCCACAAATTACTACCCAAAAAACTGCCCCGATCGATTATGGCCAGCTCCAGGCTTCTGTCAGAACATGCTCATGATGAGCTCAGTGCATGATGTGCAAAACAATTCTATACATGTGCATTTAAGTCTTTCCTTTGCAAGACTTTTTTTTTTTTTTGCATTGGGTTGATGAATGAAAAGTTGTATGTGCATATATGCATTTAAAAATCCAGACAAAAGCGTGTGCCTCATGTTTAATCACACTGCAGGTGAATGGGGAAAAAATGTGATCATATTTTGC